GATCAACTCTCATTTAGACCAATGTGAACCTTCTTTGAAGGAAGTGGCTACAAAATTGAAAAATTCCTTCTATGTTGACAACTGTGTCACTTCAGTGAATTCGAATGAAGAAGCAGAATACTTTATTGCAAAATCAACTCAGTTAATGGCAAGTGCTAACTAACTTTGACTTAAGAGGGTGGGAGCAAACAGAACTGAACAGTGGAAAATCTACAATGAGCGAACCATTGAAAGTACTTGGTCTTCTGTGGGATAAATATGAAGATTCTTTGTTTTGTGACATCCCTAATATCAACTTGACTGATCTCTCAGTGACAAGACGAAACGTACTATCAATTGTACAGAGAGTTTTTGACCCAATAGGTTTCACATGCCCTTTTACACTCCTTCCAAAGTTATACTTGCAAAAGAGCTGGGAAACTAAATTGAGCTGGGATGCAGAGCTACCTGAAGATATTAAAAGAAAATTCTTGAAGTGGGTCAAAGAATTGCCCTTGTTATCCTCTGTGAAGATTTCCAGACTACTTTCATTGACAGAAGGACAATCTTTTAGTTTGCATGTTTTCCGATGCTTCACAGGGATCTTATGCAAGTGCAGTATATTTGAGAAGTGACCCTAGTGCAAGCCAAAGCACGAGTGGCTCCCTTGAAAAAAATAAGTATACCACGACTTGAATTGCTTGCTTGTCTTATTGGGGTGCGATTAGCATCATTTGTCAAGAAGAACCTTAAGGTCGAAATTTCAAAGGAATATTACTGGACCGATTCGTCAACAGCACTGTTCTGGATAAAGAACGTAGAAGTTTGGAGCACTTTTGTGAATAACAGAGTTTCAGAAATTAGAATCCTATCGGATCGTGAAAATTGGCATCATGTACCAGGTGCGGAAAACCCAGCCGATATGCCATCAAGAGGATGTTCTGTGAAGAAACTCATTGAATCAAGATGGTGGGAGGGCCCACCTTGGTTGGCACTGCCGGAAGAAGAATGGCCTCGTTCTATCCCAATCGATAATAAAGAAGAGGTTAATACTGAAAAACGTAAAGCAGTTATAGTTTCGTTAAGCAATGTTAGCGATATGTCTTCACAATTCTTTGGCTATTTTTCAAAGTATAAGAAAATACTTAGAATGATTGGGTGGATACACAGATTCATAGGAAATACCCGAAAGAGGAAAGAAGAAAGAGAATCAGGAGAGTTAAAAGTTTATGAATTGATAAGGGCTGAGAAATCTATCGTGAAGATTATTCAACATGATTCTTTTTCATCTGATGATATTAAGAAGCTGAAGTCAATAAGTGTGTTCAAAGATGACGAAGGCATTTTACGTGTCAGGTCTAGGTTGACTGAAAGGAAAGACCATGAAAATTTTATTTATCCGATGTTACTTCCGAAGAATCATAAGATTGTGGAGAAATTGATAATTGATAAACATCTCTCTATGTCTCATGCAGGAATTCACGTACTGATGTCAACACTTAGAGAGACGTTTTGGATCCTGAAAAGTAGAGCTACGATTCGAAAAGCTTTATATGCATGTGTCAGGTGCAGGAGACATGGAGGTAAACGACTACAGACTGTGCCTGCTACTCTACCAGAAAACAGAGTTAGAGAGGCTCGTGTTTTCGAGATTGTCGGCGTTGATTTAGCTGGCCCATTAATTTTGAAGGATAAAAGAAAAGCTTGGATTTTACTTTTCACATGTGCTGTTTTCAGGGCGGTCCATTTGGAACTGATTTTGTCCCTTTCAACTCAAGGATTTTTACTTGGTCTTAGAAGATTTATTGCCCGTAGAGGGAGGCCATCGATAATTTATAGCGATAAGGGAAGCAATTTTGTCGGATCCAATAATCTCTTGAGATCGATTAATTGGAATACCATTGAGATAGAAGCCGCCACAAACAAGATCGACTGGAAGTTCAGTCCACCCGCAGCACCATGGTGGGTGGCTTTTGGGAACGACTTGTTCAAATGATTAAGAAGCTTTTGCGTCGAGTCCTAGGCCAGTCATGTCTGAATTATGAAGAATTGATGAGTGTGCTGTGCGACTGCGAAGCAACTGTGAATGCCAGACCACTCACTTATGTGTCAGAGGACTCTGATGATCTCATCCCTTTGACACCGTCCTTGTTTTTAGGTGAAATTCCAGTCTTTGGAGTTCCTGACTTGGATCATCTTGATAAAGTTGATTTCAACAAGAGACTGAGACATTTACAGAATTTACGAGAGCTCTTGAGAAAGAGATTTAGAAATGAATATCTCGGCCTGCTAGTGCAACGTCCATCTACAGTGCCGATTTCTCAAACAGATAAAATTCGGGGGGTATAGTTCTTATCGAATGTGATGACAAACGCAAGGTGGTGTGGCCTCTAGCAAAAGTGATTGAACTATATCCCGGAAAAGACGGCAACATTCGAGTAGTTCGTGTCAAAACCATGTCTGGAGAATTAGTTCGACCAATCCAGAGAATATTCCCTCTCGAAATACCTTCATCTTTGGAGTCAGATGAGGCAAATGAAACTGAGACGCAGGGTGAAGACAGTTTAGTCTCAAAATTACCAAAGAATAATTCAGCTGCAGATTTATCAAAGGACATTAAGACTGTCGTGACTAGAAGTGGACGACAAATTAAAATTCCATCTAGATTTCTAACCTGAACACTACTTGAGTTATTTTAGAGTAGAAATTTAAGAACTTAATTTTTTTCTTTTGTTTATTATTTAGCCTTAATATTTTGTATGGACAGTATTTTTTATTATATTTTGTTTTGATTGATTAAGTATATGTCATCAATCACAAGGTGGGAGTATTGTTAGAACCCAGGCTCAGTTGTTATTTTTCTTTACATAGTTTATCACTGTAAGAGTGGCAACCATCTGATTTTTGTTGTAGTTTGTTGCAGTTCTGTGAATTTTGAAAATAAATATGACGCTGTAGAATTTTATATGTAAAGTTATTTTATTTTAAGTTTATTAGGAGAAAGGAGAACGGTTAGTTCTTGCAAATCTCGAACAGTCTGTCCCTGAATGATTGTTTGTGGCCAGGTATTAATCTGAATCAAAATATATTTCACTTGCTGATATATTTTAGACTTAATAGAGTTGCAATCTTAGGAGATATCGAAAAGGCATTTTTACAGATCGTGTTAGCTGCGAAAGATCGAGATGCAGTTAGATTTTTATTTGTTAAGAATATTGATACACCTTTGCAGAATACCGAGGATCAGCTAGAGGTGTATAGATTTAAGCGTGTGCTCTTTGGTGTTAATTCAGTCCCTTTTGTTAGCGGCAACTATAAAGCTGCATATCCAAAAGTACAGAAATGTGTATCCCGATGCCTTTCAAATTCTTGATACATGTATGTATGTTGATGATCTTGTTACAGGAGCAGATGATGTATCAGAAAACTTAAATTTTCAGAGAAGCAAAGGAAATTATGCGTGGAGCTGGGATGAATCTACGCAAATGGGTGACGAATGATTGTCATTTAGCTAAAGAATGGGAAGAAGAAAATTTCGACATTCATCCGCTAAGCTCAAATGAAAAGATACTGAAGGCATTAGGAATTCAATGGAACATTCAGGAAGATAGTTTGAGTATAGAGACTTCTTGTTTGACGGAAATTTCAAGGAGAAAGAAAAGTACCAAACTCTTTATCCTCGAAACAGCTGGAAAAATATATGATCCTCTTGGAATCATCACACCATTCACTGTTAGAATAAAACTTTTACTATAAAAGCTATGGTTACGTAAATTACCATGGGATGAAGAGCTTCCTTCTGATTTGAACGACGAGTGGTCTCAGTGGTGTAGCGAGCTTTCAGAACTTAGTAACATTAGTGTTCTAAGATTTGCTTTGGATTTCTGTGATGGAAATATAGAGATCCATGTTTTTTCTGACGCAAGTCAAAAGTTGTATGGTGCAGCCGTTTACGTAAAGGTACAGAATCAAGAAAATATTTCTGTGAATTTGCTGGCTTCCAAGAGCAGAGTTTCACCTGTCAAAAAAGGCATTTTCTTGCCTCGACTTGAATTGCTGGGTGCACTGATTGCTGCAAGATTGGGAATGGAAGTTAAAAAAGTTCTAAATCGTAAAGGTTCATCTAATATCTTTTTTTGGAGTGATTCTAAAGTTACACTGTATTGGATTAAAGGATCAAGCAGAAGATGGAAATCTTTCGTTCAAAATCGATTTGACGAGATTCAGAAGTTGACTAATTCAGATTCGTGGTTTTATTGTTCAACCAAGGACAATCCAGCCGATCTTCTAACGGTGGAGTTAGTGCCTCTTCTCTAGTGAACAATTCTAAGTGGTGGACTTGTGCAGAATTTTTTACAGAGCCGAATCTTCCCTACAAGTGCTTACAACCAATATTTCCAGAGGTTGAGCACCTAACACCAAGTGAAAGGGAATCCTTTGTGCAAGAAAGCAAAAGTTCTAGTGACATTAATGACATTTCTGAGAGAACTATGTTGATTGACATGAACTCTAACGTTTTAGACGAACTCTTGAATATTAGTAGCAATTATGATAAAATTATTAATGTTCTTTCTTATATTTTTAGGTTTATTTGTAATTGCAGAAAGTTTGGATCAAAGAAAGGTAGGCCCTCTTCAACTAGATGAGGTAAGAATAGCTGAAGGAAATGCATATTAAGCATGAGCAGAGGATTCTATTTATGTAAAAAAGACATAACAGGTAACTTGAAAAATTTACATTCCCTTTGTTGATCGTAAACGAATAATTCGTGTTGGCGGCCGTCTTGATAAAGCGTCTTTACCATTTTCTCAGAAATATCCTGCGATCCTATCTCAAGAAATTCGAAGCTAAGTAAGATTTATTTTTTTAGTGTGCACACAGAAGATTATTTGCATGTTGGCCCTCAAGGATTATTGAATGCAGTACGTTTAAAATTTTGGCTCATTAGGTGGTAGAGATTTGGCGCGAAAAACAGTACATCTTTGTGTGACATGCTTTAAATGCAAACCGATTTTGTCTTCACAGATTATGGGTAATTTACCATACGAGAGAGTTAATAGATCACCCCCCCCATTTAGTGTTTCAGGTTTGGATCTATGCGGTCCCTTTTATGTAACTTACAAGCATCAGAGAAAGGGCAAAGAGAATCGTTCTAAATAAAATTTACATTTGTGTATGTATATGTTTTGTGACACGAGCTATTCATCTTGAGCCTTTGTCAGATTTAACTTCTAGTGCTTTAGCCACTCTTAAGCGTTTTATGGCCAGACGTGGCAAACGTGCGAAAATATTCACTGATAATGCCCCTAATTTTGTAGGAGCAAATTCTCTGTTGATGAAATTTTTCAATGTAATTAATTTTCCTTATAAAACTTTGGCCTCATATTTCACGTCCGAAAGAATAGACTGGAACTTTATACCTCCCAAGTCCCTCATTTCGGAGGGCTATGGGAAGCCGGTGTAAAATCCGTAAAGTATCATTTAAAGAGAACGATAGGAAATTTGCGTTTTACATATGAGGAGTTTGAAACTATAATTGTGCAGGTAGAGGGAATACTAAATTCGAGACCTCTTACACCTATTTCCAATGATTCCGATTGTTATGACGTTTTGACCCCAGGTCACTTCTTAATAGGGAGATCAATACAGATGATTCCGGAGCCAATGATAATAGACGTAAATGAAAATCGGTTAAGCCGGTGGCAGAGAACGACGAAAGTAGTTCAGATTATCTGGAAGAAATGGTCAAATGGCTATTTAGGAACTCTGCAACAGAGAAACAAGTGGATGATAGAGAAGGACAATATTTCTGTTGGTACAATGGTACTCGTCAAGGAGGATTATCTGCCAATATGCAAATGGATATTAGGTCGGGTTATTAAAGTCTATCATGGATCTGACAATAAGTAAGAACGGTTAAAATCAAAACAAAAATCAGGAGAATTAAAAAGAGCGATAACAAAGATTCGCCGTTCTTCCGATAGAAAAAAATGAAATATTTTGCATTTGTATTGTTATAGTATTGTAATAGCTCTAGTTATAGTAATAGTATATTATGTTGTTTATAAGTATATTAACTTTGTTTAAGAATGTTTGTATAATTTCTTGAAATTTTGTAATTTCAATCCGGGGGAGTGTTAAGTCCCTCTGAAGCCAGATGGCGCTGCCATCGCTACTGTTTACAAAAAGAATGTTAATTACTTTAGAGTTGGCTTCAAGGGCGAAGCAGAGAGTGATTGTGAGGGCCTGAGCGTCTTCCAAAAATTAGTATAATAATGATAAAGATATGTTACAGAGTAGTTTGTTAATTAGTTTAATTAAGAGTTATAGTCCATTTAGAATTCGCCGGACCACCATGAAGTGGCGGAATTTGCTTGAAGGGTTTCTTAAATTTCTTTGCATTGTCAAAAAGAGAATTATCTTCAGTTGCGAGAGAGTTGAGGAATTTACGCCAGCGTTGCGTCTTGAAGTTACTAATGTCCTTTGTGATCTCACGTTGAAGAGCGTTCAGTTGAGTTTTTAGCCTTGGGTCTCTTGTATTTTGCCAGTTTTTCCTAATACGATTTTTGCATTTGATTTTTTGTCTTATGCTGGCTGGAAGAGGAAGAAAAGGATGGGAACTGATGAATTTATTGGTGAAAAATTGATAGCATGTTGAATAAAGGTGGTAAATTTCTTGATTTCAGACTCAATATCGTCTTCATTAGTAATTTTGATTTTGGGATTTCCAGGAATGGTATCTGAAATGATTTGTGAGAATTTTTTCCATTCAGTAACGCCAATACTCTTGCCCAGTGAAGGTAAGTAACTATTAATGCTGATTTCAAGAAGAATGGGATTATGGTCAGATGAGAGAGCTGGAATAAGAGAAATTTGGCAATTATAGTCGAGGTTGTTAGATAGAAAAATGTCAATAATAGAAGAACTATTTTAGCCATAATGCGTAGGTTCATCAGAGGCATGAGTGGAATAACTTTTATTTTTAATCATGCTAAAAATTTCTCGTCCTTTTCTATTGCTTTCTCCTTAATTTCAGCATTGATGCTTAGCGTTAAAATATCCTCCAATTAAAGCAGGAGGGTTAAAATCCAGTAGCTGTTCAATTTCAGAAATGATCGGACTATTGTTAGGAGGTATATAGATATTAGAGATAATGAATTTTTTGTGCTCAATTTGAATTTCAATAGTATTACTTTCAAAAGAGGTAGAAAAATTTTGAGTTGATGTTGGATGCTCCTTTTTATTTTGAGTTGATGCTTTAAGTTATAATTCCACCTCCGCGTCCGGTATCTCGATCTGTACGGTAAATAGAATAATTTGCGTAAAGCACTTTTAGCGTAGGTTTCAAATGGGTTTCCTGTATAAGAATTACATCAGGTTCCAGTTCCAGAAGAAGATTGCCAAATTCATCTTTTTTGTTAAAAAAGCCATTAGCATTCCATGAAAGAATTTTGATGTTCAGTTAATACTGCGTGACATGTTAAAGGCAATTACTAATTGTGTCAAGAATGTCCACAATTGCACTTATTTTGTCTATAAGGCGAAGTTTGCTTCTTCATAGTTTTGAGGTGTTCTATAATGACAGTCCATATTGTTTTTAATGAACCCAAATTAAATAATTCTGAGAAGGTGGAGCTTTTCGTTTAAGTTTCGTAAGTTTCGTAAGTTCGTTAAGTTTTCGAGTTTCGGATAAGTTGGACTCCTTATTATTTTCAGGCTTCGAAGAATCTATTTCTTCGTTGAGAGGTGGAAAGCTGTTATCTTGTAAATTCCAAGGATTTTTGGTTGGTGGATTGCTGGGAGTAAACTTCTGCTTTGTTTGCGGTCTGGCTGGACACTTGGAGAAGTTAGATGGATGTGGACTACCACAATGGCAGCAAATGGCAGGCTTATCTTTGTCAACTGGACAGATTTTAGGCTCATGATTTCCATCGCAACGCACACAAACCCAGTCACGAGTACATAAAAGTGAGCTGTGGAAGTATTGCTGGCAACGATAACATTGTGGAGATCCAGATCTCCGTTTTAAGGCCTCAACAGTGACATTCATATAACCGATGTGCTTGATGTGATAAATCTTTCCTGATGCTTCAGTCGTAGGGACGTGAAGTAAGAAAAGCGGCATTGGCTTATTTTCCTTTCTGTTTCTCATGATAGTGATATGATTTATGGTAAAGCCTTGGTTTGTTAGTTCTTGGACAATATAATTGGGGTTCATGGTCCCTGGCAGGTCTCTGATTACGATTTTAATCACTTTTTCTTCAGGCAGAAGAAATGTATGGGCTTTAAGATGTGTTTCTTCTATAATTTTGCGAATAAAGCGGTGAGAGTCAGCATCTGCCGGTTCAATTTGTAGTCTATTTCCTTTAAGAGTGCCCATTATCTTTCTTCCAATTCCGTTACTTAAATTTGCAAGAAATTCGTCAGTTTTAACAATATTATCCACTATTATGGGTGGAACTCCATTCTTCTGGGTTTTATTTTCAGAAAATTTCTTTTTGATAGTTTTTGGAATAGTGGCACGTATAGATGGTTGACTAGAAGTGGGCTGGTGGTCTTCTTCAGTATCATCTAAGTTCATTGAGTCATTATCGGTTTGGAGTAGTTGAAGTTTATTATTAGTTTTAAGATTTGGTTCGTCATTTTCGCTCTCAGAATCTGAAGACTTTCTTAGCTGGCGTTTCCGTTGTTTACGGAATTCACCTCCAGTTTGATGAGCTTCGCAGTATTGTTTCAAGTCGTTTATTTGTTTCTGTAAAAGTTCATTAGAACTTTTGAGTTCGTTGATAGTTGCAGTAGCTTGAGCATTTTCTTGTTCTCTTAATTGATTGATGGCTTTTGCAAGTAGCAAGATGCAGTTTTTTGATTGATTCGGGTGAATATCCAACATTTGTTTGACTTAAGGCATTTTCAATGTCGAGTACAACTTGCCTGGTGGAGTTAGCATTATTCGATAAAGTTATCTTGTGACTGAGGATGTGAATAAACTGAGGCTTTGCTAAGGATTTCGTGTAGTCATGATCAGAAGTTTCATGTGAGTGTGCTGAATCCTCCATGTTCGTTGTATGCGCAGGCGCTGGGTCTAGATGTAAATTCGACCTGACATTAGCACAAGATGTCATGCGCAAGAAGAAAAGAGTAAAAGAAGTTGCAATATAAAAAGAGTAAAAGAAGTTGCAATATACTCTACTAGAAGACTCGAAACTTCTCAGTAGCCTTGCAACTGAATTTCTCCCGAGACCTCTGACCGCAGTCGACACCGCGGCTTAGAGAGAACATGCAAGAAAGAGATCCAACGAGTTATACTTGCTGGGAAGCAGGGACAGCAGTTGTAATCCAAAACGCGTACAACAGCAGTGTGATGCTGGAAGGCAGGTGCGATCCACAAGGGGGAAGGGACGCAGACGAAAATCCGAGCGGGAGCAGGAGGCGAGATGAACAACAACCTTCTCGTATGACGGCACAAGCTCGAATGTCCTTCTATTCTAACTTCCTTGAGGCGGGAGAGGTTACTGTGTCGCACTAGTTACGTCCTCTTGCCCAAACGTTGAAAAACACATACAGGCAAAAGAAAGGGATGGTATAAAACATAATTTTATTCAAAAGCATAAAAAAGTTTCCTTCTACCATTATGAAATTCAAAGAGCACATAAAAAACGGAGTAAAAATTTCAAGCTATTTAAATACATACATATTTACGGACTAGTTTAGATGAACAAAGAGTGCAGTGCAACCAATCCATAAAAGGTTGTTTTTGTAGAATGTGTCCTGTGGAGGAGAAATTCATGCACTGTCATTCCTGATCATCCTGATCACGGGAACTGTTTGAAATTAATTAGTTTATTTTAAGAATCTTAGTTTATTTTAAGAATTAAGAATAAACGAAAACAAACTTAGAAGAGAAAAACGTTTTAATTATCTACGGCTGTAAGATAGTATTTACAATCTATATATGTTAAAATAATATATTAAATTATATTAAAAATATTGAGTTCGTTCATATTCCTGAACATCCTTCCACCCTGCAATTTTCTAAAATTGCAACATCTTTGCTTCTCAGAGGTTCAACAGCTGAAGAACTTTTACTTGTCACCTAAGTCAAATGATACCTTAAGAAACATCAAGGATAGGGACCTCAATAATCCTTGATGCATTAGACTGAGGGCTGCTATAAAACTGACGGCTCAATGATCATTGCGCTGGGAAGGATCTTTTAGGACTTGGGGTTTTGTCTGAATTTGGAAACTCTTCACTTTGAGAATATGAAGAGAGTTCTATAAGACGAGAGACTTCATTCGTCTGGACAGGACTTAGGTTTCATCTAAACCAGTGTTTCTTAATCTTTCTAGCGAGTCGCACCCCATTGAATCTGAAAACATATCTCCCGCACCCCATTGAAAAATGTGTTTTAATTTTTTTAGTCTAGAAAAATACATTTTTTGCGAAACTTATTGTTTATTGAAAAACATTGTACATTTTATATAAATACAAAACAATATTATTTTTATTAATGACTAGTCTGTTGTTATTTGTTCATTATTATACTGGCGAAGCAAGGTTCCTTTTTTGAAAGACATACGCGTAAGTCATCACTTGCATTTAAGCGATTTCTCGCTTTAGTTTTTATATTCAAAAGCGATGAAAATCCCATTTCGCACAAGTAGGTGGTAGCAAAGGGTAAGAGTAACTGCAGTGCTCCGTTCGCCAACTCTGGATAACGTTGTAACTGTGAACACCAGAATTGCTGCAATTCTAATTGTTCGAATTCCATTTGCACATGTCCAGTTGCTCGCATTTCAATAAGTTGATCTTTTTTCAGATCACTATCATCCATCAAATTTAAGTCAAACAGAAATGGATCCAGTCCAATCCATCTCTGAGTTTTGGTAATATTTCGGTAGAAAAATATC